TGTCCAATTAATTTCTTTCTAATTTTAGTAGAGACGGGGTCTCACTCTTGCTCAGGCTGGTTTCGAACTCCTGAGCTCAAACAATCCGCCTACCTCGGCCTCCCAGAGAGCTAGGATTACAGGCGTGAGCCACCGCGCCCGGCCTCTCATTCCTTTTTAATCAGCATAACTATAAGGATGTGTTAGAAATGCACATTGGTATTCCATTGTATGAATGTACCATAAATGTGCAAAGGTGATATCTTACTTTTCAGGGACTCTTTTGATCAAATTCCAGTTGAATATTCTCTCCATTCTTGTAGAATTTATCAAATGCCCTGATGCATAGTCTTTGAAATTGATTCAACAATTTGAAAAATCTTACTTTCAAGATGGGTTACTGTTTGTTCTTAAGCTCCCTGAAGGCAGGTACTACATCATTTCTGTCACCACTTACTATATCTTCACTGAGTCCCTCTTGATCATTGATTTAGTTGTTTTCCCTCTCCTTTCTCTGGCTATCAAAAAGTGAGCATTCTCTGCTGAAGAAATAACAAGAGTAAGGCACAGAAACAAGACTGCAAGGGTGTGTTTGGAAACAGCAGGTAGCCCTGGCACGCAGAGCCTAGAGCTGGTGTAGTGAGTGGGAGGAGACGCACTTCCACTTAGCAGTAAGAGGGAAGGTTGATTTCACAGTCCAAAGAAAGTCCTCTTGGGTGGCCTAAATCCAAGCAAGAATGAATGCATATATTGAGACCTGGCACTCCTAAAGAACTGAAAGTATTAAAAACAAAAGTGATGAAGAATGTGGGGGACATCTGGTGTGACATTCCAGGACAATGAGGTCTTGAACAGCCCTCATGATTACCCAGGCAAACTCCTATCCTGGATTCTATTTTCTGGATTTGCTTTCTACTCCCCATCAGAGCAGTCTGCCCTGCTTCATCCAACATTTTTTGTAAGTCTTTAATTGTCTCCTCCATATTCTTTTTCATCCTCTCCAAGTGGGCATTGGTGTCTTGCTGCTTCTTCAGTTCTTCCGACAAGTTTGCTGCCTAGAAAAAAGGAAAGGGATTGATACCCATGATCTTCTGTTCCTGGTCTGACTGAATGCCATGCCTGGACTCTGTATATTTAATTTTTTTGCACTGTCACCTCCCTAGCCTCTACCACTCTCAAGATTGTTAACATTAAGGCAATAGAGATAGCAGCAGCTATGGGAGAGACTGGTGTGAGGAGCAGTGGAAGCAGACCAAAGATGGAGCACCGTATGAACATTATTACACAACACCTGCATTGAAAGAAAGATGACCAACTGAAGCAATGACTTTTAATTGAATAAAGCTCCAGGACATGATTTATTACGGAATAAAGTAACCGGTGTCACATGATGCACCAGAAAAGGTGTGGAGGAGTGTCTACAGAAATCATTTTCACATCTCACTTCTGTAATTCTGTGATTCACTACGCAAACAAGTTTAGGCACCAGGAATTTGGCAGTAAAAGATGCCCTCACTGCCAATACTCTGGCATGAGGAAGGTTAATTGTGAAGCCTACTATTGGCTTTGGCTGTGTGTACGGGGACTTGGTTTCTCAGTGCAATCATTAAGAACTGTTTCGTGAATCTCTAGGTGCCCTTAATGTAAGAACATGGTCCTCCCAGCCAAAGCTTTTCTGTCTATCAAGTTACCAACCATCTGCAGGATTGAAGTGTGAGACTTCTGTACAGATGGTGAGGGCAAAGAATGAATTACATTCTTCTACGTGGGGTTGGGACTCAGAGCTAAACTGTTGGAGAGCTGGAAGGTAGAGGGAAGAGGTGGTGAGTTCACTTTTGAACATTGTCAAGACAATCTTATCAAGGCAGGATTAAGCAGACAGCATCTTCATAATGTGTGACTGCACAAATTTACCAAGCAGGAGTGGCAGCTCTTTTTATTCCTTTCTACCTATGTGGATTTTCACAAATGTTACACATATTGCTTTTTACCTTGGCCAAATGTCTTCAAGCTTTCATACACCGTATTTCCATCAGAGAGCAGAAGTATCTGACTTGACACAAAACAGCTGAGTGATGAGCACACTTCTCCATTCTTAAAGGGGAGCTGGATTCTATGACTCAGTGGCTGAGATTTGGTGTTTAGTTCCTCAAGTGCTAAATCACTTGAGCAACTATAGACACAAGCTCCTCTCCTCTCTTGAATTTTAAAATGGCTAATATAAAATCTAATTGAATGTCCTGTCTTCCCAGTTCCCATACTGTTTTTAGCAGAGGGATCAACTTCCCTTCACACAGCAGGGTCAGGGTGGCTACAGTGGTTGTGCATTTGATGGGCTGCACAAAAGACTTTGATGGGGAAGGAGTGAGCAAAGGCTGAATCAAGCCTATACCCCACTCAGCAAGGCTCTGGGACACGCAAAGCTGGACCTTCGACATACAGACCTCCCCCCCTCCACTAATATTTTTCGCTCCACGGTACCTGCTGCTTACCATGCCCGTTGAGAGAAGTGCTGCATGTGCTCACAGGGGACACCCAGAGGGTGGCCTTTTTCCAGTTCCCACAAAGGCACATCGAGGCTTGCAGCCAATGTTGAGCTTAGTGTCATTTAGGAAAAGCACTACCATCAACAACTTTAAATTTGCCAATAAAGAACGTATGAAACCAGCCCTGAAACCCTTCTTTACCATTCTGATTTGCTACTCAAGCAGTAGTATGGGTTGTAAAAATAAGTGAATTAAGCATTCTTTTCAGATCATGGCCGTAAAACCATTATAGATCCTAGGAAAATAGCTATTTGTAAGGAAACACAGGAAGAATTGTTTCTAGACACTAGAAATATTGATTCACAAATGGAAAGTGGCTTAACTTGAACAAAAGAACACTCCTGCTTTCATTAGGCTCTGCTTATAAGCAATCCAACTGCTCCTTTTCATCGCCAGGGTAGGTTCAAGGGAGGAACTAATTGGCCTAATTTTTCAAGATGAGAGCAAGGAGGCAGAGGGGTCAGCTAACCTCCTCTTGGCCATATGGACAATCGATGGAATACTTTTTGCCTGCAGATTTGCCCTGGCCCTTGGCTGTTGCTCCAGTGAACTCTGGAAGACAGGACTGAGCAGGCAGTCAATGGACCCACCTCAGCAGCCGCCTTCCTGGCCTTCTCTTCTGCACTTTGACACCCTCGCACCGCCTCTTCCGCTTCATTCTGCATCTGGGCAACATCAGCCTCCAGGCTCTTCCTCTGGCTGAGGAGACTTGTGCTCTAAGGAGAAGCAGCATCCAACTGTTAGATAAGTTAGAACCAGCAACGCAAATACAAGCTGTTCTGTTCAGGACATGCGATGAAAGTCAGCTCTGGCCAGGAGCCAGTTTTATTATAGTTAGCCATATTCACTTAAGCAGTTCAACCCCAAGAGGTTTCTGCCATCAAAGACAACTTTGGAATGGAAGGGACTTCACCCACTAGAGGTTCAGGACAAAAAGATGGCAGCCTGAATCAGAAAGGAGAAAAAATGTATGACCCATAAGCCCCAAACATGTGTTTGGTTTTCAACTTGTTGAGGAATATGTGTTTCTGCCTTTTGCTCTTTGATGTGGTAGAAACAAGTGTTCCAGAGCATAAGTAAGGGTCAACTCAGACATTTAGGGAGCAGAGGGTTGGGAAATAAAAATCACAGTTTCCAGCATGCAGTTCCAGGAAGAACTCCTCCTCTTTTTCTACCTCCTTCCCTATCTCACTTTGCAGTGAGGAGGTGGGAAAAGTAGTTCAGAAATAAGCTCATCCCCCAGCCCTTAGGAGCCCTATTACAACGGAAGATTCTTTGTGTTCTGTGGTTGGTGCTGCCCTAATTCTTTCCTTCCTGAGTGTGACACTAGAGGCCAAAGCTCCTTTTGCTGCTATTTGGTCTGTGTTTGAAGCACAGCTTCTCTGAGGGTGTGAAACCTTAGCGTACAGAGCATATATGAAAGGCATGGGCTTTCTATTTTTTATTTCTCCTTTTACTTTATCCTTTTCACATTCACTTTCCTCTAGCTAGGGCCTCTCCCAATGGCAGGATGGAGCTTTGGAAATAGAAAGCTATTCCAGCCTCACAGGTTCTACCCCGCTTCCTCTGTGGCATACAGCACCTTCATCAAGACTGCCATCCTCTGTCCTTACAGGGAACCAGGCCCTGTGCAGTCCAGGCTTTCCACTACATGGCCTGGGGGTGAGGGTAAAAAGAAGAGTATTTTCCTGGAGTGTTTGTTGGATGCTCACTGTACATAATTCCATAGAAACTCTTTCTTTGTTAAGGTTGGTACAAGTATAAGTGCTGATTTGTTTGTACATAGAATCATTTAAACTTTGCTAGGGAGAGAATGGTTAAAATCTTTGCAAGCTGAATGACTCTCTAATTGCTTCTTTTTTTAGGAGATAGGAGGTTAGAGGGTATTTTGCAGGAGGGTAGTCTAGATTGTCACAGCTCAGGTTTGAAAAAGGGCACATGTAATCAGTCCAGGATAAGTTTGGCCTCATATCTTTGTTCTAGGCTGGAGGTCTAGAAATAACAGGAGGTAGCTAAGAAGGCACCATAAAAGGCTCGTTATGTTTTGATTGATAATATTCTAATAATTTCAAGGTGCCCCAGCACAGTTTAGGTTGGGGAGTGGTCCTTGTAAGCAGTGTAACACCACCTAGACCAGCGCTGGTCCAAGGCTAGTCCCTGGCGCAGCGGCAGCACCCGAGAACTTGTTCACTTCCTGGGTCCCACTGCAGAGCTTCTGATTCAGTAGGTCTAGGGCGAGATCTGAGAATCAGCATTTTTGTGCTAGTGATTCTTACACGTATACCTAAAGTTTCAGAAACTCTGCCCTAGAGACCACATCTCCACTGCCTAATTTTCCCTTTTTTCCCCCAAATCCTTTCCTCTCCATGCCTGCTTTTTGTCTGGTCGACGTCCTTCTCTCTCTCTAGGCTAATGGTTTTTCATCATATTGGGACCAACTGGTACACTTTTAGTAATAATATGTGTGGCAAATGATTTGTTATTAATAGCTATTAAGTACTGCAATGGATGATTTACTTTTTAAAAAATTAAATATTCCGCTTTATAAGAATCCAACTCATTGTATTTAGATAAGCTTTCTTGAGAGAGAAAGAAAGTATTGAAGCCTGCTGGGAACTATGCATAACCTACAGATTATTTTTCTATGCTACATGGTACCCAAATGGGATTGTTTCATGCACACAAACATAAAAGTCAAACTGTAGGCACAAATGCATTTCAGCAGATACATTTCTGGTTTATATTAATAATTCATTTTATCCAGTATTTTTCAGTGGGGACACAATTGACATTCTGAGAAGGGCAATTCTTTTGGATTATCCTGCACCTTGAAGGAGTTTTGGTATTTCTGGACCCTGCCCAGAGGCACTTCTTAGTCATTGTGGAAACCAAAATGACCCCACAGATGTTTCTAATACCCTAGCACATAGCAGTTCTGCCCCTAGTTGCTTTAATCCATCCTTCATAACAATCACCAATCACCAGAGTAAACTTCCTAACATGTAATTCTGATAATTTCACTCTCAGACACTCATAATTCTTGAGTGGATCTCCATTAGCTGCAAGATAAAACTCAAACTCCATCAGTCTCAGACTCAAGGTCCCTGGCAACCTGGCTGTATCCATATCTTAATGTCATTTCTGCTCATATTCCCCATTTACTCCATTCTCTAGTATGTGAATTTCTCTCAAAATCCCAAATTCCCTCTTCCCTCCATGCCTCTGCCCTTGACTTTGCTCTCTGCCTGGCCAACTCCCTACATGTCTTTCATGACTTAAATGAAGCATATTATGCACCCACCTAAGTCCAGGATTGTCAGGGAAGGCTTTCTGTAGGGGTGAACTTGCTCTATCATTATACTCCTAGCAGTGCGCTACAATTGTTTACTTAGGTCTTCACTTTTTTAGGATGATGGAGACATTTTGTATCTATAACACACATACCTGTCCAGGTTATGGGGGTGCCTTACAAATGCTTACTGCATGACCCATTTACTGTAGACATTTTTCCTAGTGACTACAGCTTCTCCTAATTCTATGAGAATGGTGAGGGATCTAAGAATTCTTGCTTCGTGTCACTTACATAACCTTCCAGGAGAAGCCAGAATCCTGACAGCTCATCATATTCATTAGCAGATACTCAGAATTGTTAGAGATCTCTTAGCTCTAAGGCAGGAGTATTTTTTTTTTTTTTAATTCTGGGATGGTAGGGGAACATGTGGCTTACAGAGAGCAAGAGAACCAGGCAAGCAGTCTTGGAACACTAGGGAAGGTTCATCCCTCTCTCCCCAGCATTCTGGCTGTGAGTGCCCTGACAGCACATCTTTCTGTAGAAAGCTTGGTTTTATGGGTTGAATTCTGTCTCTCAGAAAAAGATATGTTGAATTCCTAACCCCCAATTTCTCAGAATGTGACCTTACTTGGAAATAGGGTCTTATTCTGTTTACAAAGCAACTAGAAAAAAAGGAAAAGAGGTAATCAAGTGAAAATCAGGTCATTAGGGTGGGTCCTAATCCAATATGACTAGTACCCTTATAAAAAGTAGAAACGTGGAAAGAGACAGACCCTCATAGAGGGAAGATGCTGTGAAGACACACAAGGAGAACACCATGTGAAAGCAAAGAGTTGGAGTGATGCATCAGTCAGCCAAGGAATGCCAGATATTGCCAGCAAACCACCAGAAGCTAGGAAGAGGCAAGGAAGGATTCCCCTAAAGCTTTCAGAGACAGCATGGCCATGCTGGCACCTTGACTTCAGACTTAGAGCCTTCAGAACTGTGAGAAGATAAATTTCTGTTGTTTCAAGCCACCCAGTTTGTGGTACTTTGTTACAGCAGTCTGAGGGAGCTAACATACTTGGGAACGAATGGAGAGTATGACCACTGCTCTGCTGCACAGGCTGTCCCCAGGCTTCATGGGCCACAGTCAAGAGTCAACATGGCAACCGTGCATGGTCCAAGACTGCCCTAGTGTGGGAACGACCACCTTCAACCAATGGACTCAGCTAATGGGAAGAGTTCAAGGGCCCCACCTGGGTATGTAAAAGAATGATTCTTTCTGTGGCTTCCAGGAGCTCTTCTTCTGCCAGCCTGCTCCCATGTTCCATCTGCTCCTACAAGGACCTCAGCTCCCCTAGTTCAGACTGAGGAAGAGAGTTATGCCACTCAGCCAGAGCCACCTGCTCTTCCAGGTCACCATTCAGGTGTGTGCTGTCATCCAGTTGCATCTGAAGCTCCTGGAAGAGAAAATATGGGCCGAGAGCACAGATCCGCCTGAGTTCAATGTGGGATGTGCACTTATGCACGGATGCTCTGACCAAAGTCCCACCTATTTGAATGTGAGCATGTTCCTCACTCTTAAGGGATTAGATTTGTTGTCCTTGCCTTTATGTCTCAACACAATCTGTTGCTTAGTTTGCTTCCATAAGCAGAAGCATTTTCCACCCTTTCCTACCCACTATTACAGTTTGAAAATATCTTGATTTGAATCTGGAGCTGACCCAGGGATTTGGTTGACTCTGACACCCTCCGGTTGGTACAGCTAAGTTGAAGTTCCATCTCACTGAGGTCCCCCTCCGTCTTCTTCTGCAGCTGGGTAGCCTCAATTCTGCTCCTAGTTTCAGAATCCAGGGAGACTAGACTAGACTGCAGGGAGTCAAAAGCACACTGCTGTTTCCTCCTAATTTTAGAATAGCAATCAAGGGGGGAAAAAATAATCACACACCCAAATTAAGAAAATTTACCTGCTATATTCAAAACAGTTTAGAAAACAGGAAAAAATTAAAATCCAAAAAAAAAATTTAAATAATTAACAAAATGAGTCTAAAGGGCTTTCATTTTAAAAGCAGAGAAGGTGAGAAGTTAGTGAGTATATGTCCACCATGACAGACTAAGGTTTCCAGACGAAGTTCCTCAAAGAATCAGGGTAAGTACCAGAATCTTTTTGAGATTTCTGTGGGGTAGACTTAGTCTTGTCTGAAACCCCCAAAAGGATGGTCTAGGGCAAACACCTGGGTTTCCCAGAGTGGCTAAGGATGCTCTTCCAGACAGCCATACTATTTAAACTACTTTCAATGGTGAAATCTCTCTGAACAAAGCAGGAAAGAGCCACCCAGGTTGGAACAAGTCCTGGGATGCAACAACACTTTTCTCCTGGCCTGGAGATACAACTCTCCTAGAATAAATAGTGTGGTTATCTTTCTCTAGGAGTTTGAGAGTACACTCAAGGATTGGCTGAGAAAACCAATTGTGTAATATTGAATTACTTTATTTATTTATTTATTTTTGAGACAGAGTCTGGCTCTGTTGCCCGGGCTAGAGTGCGTGGTGTCAGTCTAGCTCACAGCAACCTCAAACTCCTGGGCTCAAGCGATCCTCCTGCCTCAGCCTCCTGAATAGCTGGGACTACAGGCATGCGCCACCATGCCCAGCTAATTTTTTCTATATATATATTTTCAGTTGTCCAGATAATTTCTTTCTATTTTTAGTAGAGATGGGGTCTCGCTCTTGCTCAGGCTGGCCTCGAACTCCTGACCTTGAGCATTCCACCCTCCTCGGCCTCCCAGATTGTTAGGATTACAGGTGTGAGCCACCGCGCCCGGCCTGAATTACTTTAAATATTCCTTTGCAAGAACAAAATCCCTGACCTGAAAAGGCATTTGCAAAGTGACAGAAGCTAGGACAACAGCTGTGCGTTTAGGAAGGCAATAAAAAAATTGGGGGAACTCACGGCAATTTTCATTTCCCAACCCTTTTGCAGTTAGTTTGGGACCACGTGACTGAATTCCAGTCAGTGGTCTGTGGGCAGTGGTGAAGTGTACCATTCCAAGCCTGGCTCATCCAAATATTCACTTGTGTGATCCTGTACTCTCTTCTCCATCTCTAGAAAACTTGGCAGCCACATATGGAAGGTCATGAAATCCCAAGAAGGGAGGGACCTGGGCTTTTTGATGACTTTGAAGAATAACGACACACTCTTCATCCTACCTCACATTGGACCCAGACGTAGGCAAAAATGAACTCTTATTGTTTTAAGCCACTGAGATTTGGTGATTGTTGGGACAGTTTAACTTGCATAACTAGCACATGCCCTGTTAAGCTCACTCTATGAAACACGGCCCTAGTGCTGAACAGATAAGAGAGAGCAGAAGAAGGAAAAGCCTTTCTATTCTTCTTCCTCATAGAGTCCTTCTGCACAAAGAGCAAATGCGTATTCATCTTGGGCCAGAATTAGATTCCACATTGAACTGCCATCAAGCCTGCATCTTGAGCTCTGAGGCATGTAACCTGCAGGATGGAGTGTGGTCAGAGCTTGTGAGTAGATGACAGGCACCACTTTTCATGACCACCCTTCTCAGAAGCAGTTATGGAAATGTATGGGAAATAACTCTTTCTGGTTACAGAGCTCAGGGTTAGTGCCTGTCCTCTGCCAACCCCATCTCCTTGGCCTCCGCAAGCTGAAGTCAGCATCTCACGCCTATCCTTAGGCCCTGGGCTTTTGTTCGGCTCCCAGATCAGAATTCTGTAGGGATGTCAGTATGTAAAGTTAAAAGGGATTTTTAGGGACTAAATTATGTCCCCCCACAAAAATAATTCATATGTTCAAATCTTGACCCCCAGGACTTCAGAATGTGACTGTATTTGGAGATAAGGCCTTTGAAGAGGTAATAAGGATTAAACGAGGCCACTAGGGTAGGGCTGTAATCCAATGGGACTGGTGTCCTTATAAGAAAAGAAAGGATTACAGGGACACATGTGCGCAGAGGAAAGAACACACGAGAACACAGCGAGAAAGTGACCATCTGCAAAGCAAGGAGAGAGGCCTCGGGAGAAGCAAACCTGCCAACGCCTTGATCTTGGACCTCTAGTCTCCAGAACTGTGAGAAAATAAACTCCTATTGTTTAAGCCACCATCTGTGTATTTTGTTGTGACAGCCCTAGCAAACCAACACAGGGATGCTCACACTCCACATCACTAAAAGCTGTAGACATTTCTGTCTTACACTGAGAAAACTCATTTTTCCCACGGCTGACTCTCCTTACACAGGGATGCTAAAGCATCCCTAGCCTGGTGTCAAAATCCTCTACACAGAAATACATTCTACTTAAGCAGATAAACTGAATGTTTCAAACCACACTTTTTCCACAGTTGTTGATGAAACTTCATGAGTGCCTGCAGATAAGTAAAATGTGTGATGGTTTAAGAGACATGGGTACAATACCAGCCTGGAGAATGGCTGCTAAACAGTCAACACATTTCATGCAGAGTCTAGAAATTTTTAAAATGAAAACTCCCTCAAGTACATTTTTTAAGAAAAATGAAGCACTCAGGACCTCAGGCAACAGAGTAAGAAGTTCCTTCTTTTTCCTAAAATGTGAAGTACAAGTTAAAAAAATAACCCAAATGCAAAAGAAAAAAAATCAGGATAAAAGCTAAAAACCTTGAAAAGCTAATGACTTTAAATTGACAGTTCAATAGGTCATTTTTCCTCTTACAAAACTGCTCATCTATATCAGAAAAATGAGACATTTTACTTAATCCAAATACATGATTCAGCTTTAAAATGATTAACAAGTTATTTTGCTACCATGTCTAAGTTTGAGACTCTCTACTCTTCAAAGACATCCTAAAATAGTTTCCTTAGAAATGGGAAAAGATTTCAACATATTCTTTTATTGTCTGAGACTTACTCAGACAATTAAAAAAAAAATGAAGTCAGTGCATGTAAATGAAGACCACATGGCAAAATTTGACATGACTGAGTTCAGAGGAGTGGACTTATGGAAGGAAAAGATGATGGAACATTACTAGATACCTCAGGTTGCAGATCAGGTAGGTAAACTATGAGCTGTCGGCCAAATCCCACCATGGCCATTGGCTTTATTGGGTCTGGCTGCTTTCAAGCTAAAACTACAGAGTTGAGCAGTTGCCACAGAGGCCATATGGTTCGCAAAGCAGGAAATATTTACTATCTGACCCTTTACAGAAAAGGTTTGCCTAACCCTTCTATAGGTGATCAAACCAAACGAAAACAAAACAAATGCAGAGAGCAAGGAATTTCAGTGCCTCATTCCTAAAAGCACCTCTCTGGGTGTGTCTAGGGAGAACAGAATACTGGCCAGGCACACCATGGCTCTGGACCAGTTAGAGGACTCTCATGCATTTCAGTATTTCTTTGAATAGCTGGAAGAGGAATGTAATTGGTGGTCTCTGAAGACCCGGCCTACACCTGACCAGCTTGCTCTCAGCCCAATCTTGGACCTTGCAGCAGGGCTCAACTCACACAGCAATTATGGCCACCAGTTGGCCTTCAATCTGGTCTCCTTTCCCGTGTCTAGGATGGGAAGATCAAAGCCAGCCACCAAAGCTCTTCCTCTCCTACCATCAGTGACTGCACTCTCACCTCGCTACCTCTAGCTCTGCCGATATTTGTAGAAATAAAAAATAAAATACCCTATCATCCATAAATGTTTAGGAATCCCTGGCTAGAATATTAGGCACAGTGTTTGGAGAACATTAAGCACTCAAAATACTTGTTGACAAGTGAAACATATCACGCACATACCATCTGCTCATACTTTCACCAACAACAGGCTCCAGGCCGAATCACTCAGGATTCGTCCTCACCAGGATGGGAGAGAGAACTAGGAGCAGAGAATGAGTTACCCCGTCTCTGCACTATCAAGGTTTTGCCTGGGGGTCTCCTTGTCTGCTGTCTTGGTCCCTTTGACTTACTGGGTCCTATCTTACTGGGCTTCTTCAGTTTCTGTGGAGCTACTACAGCTTTATGTGGGCATAGGACCTTGAACCTGATCTTGCCCTCAGGTAATATTCTCCTTGCTTTCTAAAGCTTCCCTGGCTTATCCTTGATTGCTTGGGCTCTTACTCTCTGCTCATTTTCCCTGACATTCTATTCGGTTTCCTCAAGATCCCCTGCCAGACCTGAAGTCAAATTAAACCACCAGCTTCAACCAAGGCATTTTGATACAATCTGCATTCATAACAGAAAGGTTCTGGGATGGCATTTGTGATATTTTGTAAGATATGCTCATCTTTCCTCTCTAGATGTATCTATTATAGTGATTCTGAATCATTAACTAAGACTTATGACTGGCTCACGCCCCCTGCCTCCAGCTCGCCCCTTCTTTTCTCAGTCCCTTACAGCTCCTGCCTAGTCTTCAGTTCTTTCTCCTCCCAGCCCTCGCTGTTCCGATCTCCAACTTCCTTTGCGCTAACATTATTATAATTGGTGAACTGCTCCACAAATTCAGATGTTCCTGACAAGACGCAGACTCTCTCTCTGAGGATTCATTTTTTCTTTCTCAGCTGGGTTTATTTATAGGCACAGGTTTGACATTACTTGAAATCAGTTTTGTTTGTTTTTTTTTTTTTTTCAATTTTTGTTCCTTGTGGAAGGAACTAGGGCAAATATCAAGGCCCGATGTTTTTGCCCTTCATCAAAAAAATTCTTTTAGACACTGACTCAGAGCCTCTTAAGTAGAACAGAATTCTTCACCACAGTCAGTCCTATAGAGGAATCATTTTTTCTTTCTCAGCTGGGTTTATTTATAGGCACAGGTTTGACATTACTTGAAATCAGTTTTGGTTTGTTTTTTTTTTTTTGACTGCACAGGAGACATTCAATTTTTGTTCCTTGTGGAAGGAACTAGGGCAAATATCAAGGCCCGATGTTTTTGCCCTTCATCAAAAAAATTCTTTTAGACACTGACTCAGAGCCTCTTAAGTAGAACAGAATTCTTCACCACAGTCAGTCCTATAGAGGAAAAGGCCAGCGAGTGAGAGCAGAGATAACTGAAAGCACAAAGAGAGCCAAATTTGGCTTGACATCCTCATTAAAAAATTGACCCCGTGCAAGTTCCGTCTGAAAATGGCTATGGGAAAGAGGTCAGTTCGACTGAATGTGTTAACGGGTCTATTTAATTGTTTAACAAACACACTGAAAGTAAGTTGTCAGTTGAACCTCAGACACAAATGATTTTCCTTGCTGACATACAGCATTGACTTAAGGAAGGAGATCAGATAGCTAATATCACCATCGTTAATTCCATGTGTTTATAATTGTGCCTTTGATCTATAGCGTGTGAAGTGCTTTGCCAACATTAGCTCACTGATCTTCCTCACCACCTTCTATGACACAGAGGGGCCGCTTTTATCCCTTCACTTCACTGAGAGGCTAAGAAGTGAAATGTCGAAAGTCATCAGCTTGTTATGAAAAAGCTAAGAAAAAAAAATCCTACGACCCATGAGCCTTGTCTAATTCAGTTTCCTGACTATTAAGACGCGGCTGCTTCAACGGGGATTCAATAAGAAGCTTAGCTCCTCCTGGCTTCTGTCCTTCTTCAAACAAATGGCTACAGGTACAGGCAGGGCTGTGTGAAAACTTCACTCTGATCTGACATTAATTTTAATGTACTGCTTCAATTTTTTTAGTTTTTCCTCCATGGTTCAGTATTATCAATTTATTGAATGCCCAAGAAATAGACTTGTTATAGGAAGACCCAGACAGTCTACACGGTCCTTCTGCATATAATCGGTTTTTGGGGTGTTATCTTGAGTCTCAGTGAGAGGAGAAGCTGCTTGAATATAGGAAAATGATACAAACTGGCAGGAATGGGGTATAGGTACTCCTTTATATTAATAGTGGTGAACTTACCGGAAATAATCCAGTGTGCATTTAAACTAAGTAACAGAAGCCAGAAAAGCAGCCAAACACAATGAGTTCAGATCGGCCAAGCATTCTCAAATATGAAACTGTTGCTCATCAAAATAATCAAATACTTAAAATTTTTCTATTTCTTCATCTTTCTCTGAAAGCTTTCTTTCAAGTTCTGCTTTAGCTTCCAAGAGTTCATACTGGAAATGCAGAAGTGTGCTTTCATTACGTTCCAGGGCTCCCTGAAATGCATAAATAAAAGGCACTAAATGAAGTCCGCTTTTGGACAAAAGTTTGTTGTTTTGTTGTTGTTGTTGTTTTTCCTCAAAATGTATGTCACTAATGTAGCTCTCTTTAGACTGGCTGGGAGAGATCTAGGTTCAAGTCAGGTCCCTAGAGACTGAAACAGGATGAGACAAATAATTGCTTTCATTTGTCATTTTACTTACAGCTTTGACATTCCTGGGTCTTTCAGCAGTAGCTCAAGAGCTAGAATTCCAAAGTATGTTTTAAAATAGAAAACTCCAATCTTGCCTGTGGCTATATTTAAACTCTTAAGTGTATTACTCTTGACTTTTTCTAACATATTCCATCTTTGGGATGAATCAATAAAAGCACTGAAGCTAGAACAAAGAAGGTGACAACTCCTACCTGGAATCTTTTGTTTATATCTGGACATGGCAGAGGGATAGGGGAAAAGGTGAATGCATTCAGAAAACAAGCAACAGGACAGCGCCCCGATATTGTCATATTGACAATAAAGAAATTTAGCATATACTTGACACATAACACTCAATGTGAGTCATCATCACCATACTTAGTACTACTACTACAAATGGATTGTTTGACAGGTAGGATGATCTCCTGCCCCTCTGAGTGTTTAAATATAGCCAAGGCAATTATTGCCAGGAATGTCATAAAGGTAATTCAATCTTAAAAGTGTAGGTTTGAATAAATCTTTAAAGCCTGTCCCAAAGATAAAATATATACAGAAAAAGAAGAAACCTAAAAAACACTTGGATGATACTGGTAATATAAGGGCACAAAGGGTGAAACAATTTTGGTCAATTAACTATGGACAGTCTTGAGGGTAGAAGTCATTTTTATAGCCTCTCTTGAGGTGTGCTTAGCACAGACCACGAAAAGTAGAAAGTAAAACTGAGTAGCAATTTTAAAATAAAAATAAGATATTGGGAATCTTAATAAGGCCTCCCTTGCTGCTCTCTTGACGTTACCTTCAATAATAAAAAAAAGTAAACTGAAAACAAATCCTTGGATGGCAATTTCCTCAGAGGGAGTGGTATAGTTCCTTTAGTGGGAAACTGTCACCTCTAACCCTCTAAAATGTACTGAGAAAGTGAATCTTTAGAGAAGGTATCCTGGGATAATTTGAGTTTTATGGCTTTAAAAAAATCTGATAAAGTTTCTCATAAAGGCTCACCCAGGACAATAAGTAACCCGATGTTACAAATACATGTCCAAGTTGATGAAGTATTTATGGATGTGGCTGAAGATGGAACTTGAGGAAATGAGGATAGAAGATATTGCCATCTAGTGGTACCAAACGGTGTGAGCACTATGGCCTTAATACCATTCTCACCTCTGACATGAGTGCTGGTTGATTACACATATGAAGATGCCTCTGTGTTATACAAGACTAAAATTGTCCCTGCCTATTATATTTCTCATTGGCTTGTCATAGTGCTTGAAATTTCTATCATAAAAGTTACTTTTTTGGGTTAAGGTGGTGGCTTCAAAAAGTCCCAAGCCGGGATGACCGGAATCAAAGGGAACAAACAAGTAAACAAAACAAAGTTCACCAAAGTTCACCAACTGTGCAAGGACCAGCCTTGCTAGGGGACACTACACTGCCAACGGAAAGGATTCCCTATCAATGCAGATGGCTTGGGAAACACTTACGCAGAAAAGGGCAGGAGCTGGGTCAATGCTGTCTGCTTGACAACTCCCCACACAGGGTAACATGGACACGTCTGCCTGGCAGGTTGTTTCCAGAAGGGAAATGGTGAGGGGAATTTAACAGACAATGCTTGGCACAGAGCAGTCCTCTGAGGTCTAATTTTCTACTACCACACCTTCCAAAAGGCCCCTGCGTAAAATTGACTGCCACGCCTTTCAAAACCCATTTTCTCTACTGCTGGGTGGGTGAGTAGGGGCTATTTTAATGTGTCTGTTGCTTAGTGAGAACCTGACACCCAGCTGAGTCAGGAAGATGAAAGAGGAAAGAGGCTACGTGGGGCCTGTTAACCACCTAACAACCACGACTGGGTAACTTCCTTTTCAGTTTATGGTCTTTGGCAAAAGGTCTTCTTAGTGGTCCTTTTAGCTGCTAACATGATTAAACATCCAGGGATATTTCCTAAACTTTTAAACCATGGCACTGAAAACACTCCGGTCAAATAATCTGCACAAAGATGAGCTTTCAGAGACAAATGTTTGAGAGCATCACTTTGAATCTCATTTTTAAAACTAAAACACCTAAAGTTTTTTTTTTTTTTTTTTTTAAGAAAAGGTTGTTTTGACTGACTCTTTAAAAAGGGAGCAGCTATGAGGATATTTATTCATTTGACATTTGACAAATATTTACTGAGCCTCTACTATATGCCAGGCAATGTTCTAGGCCAGTGCTTCTCAAATACTAATGTGCATATGAACCACCAAGGGATCTTGTTAAAATGCAGATCCTGATTCAACAGAGATGGGGACAGAGCTGAGAGTCTGAATTTCTAACAAGGTCCCAAGTGATGTCCATGCCACATTCCATGGGCCACATTTTGAGCAGTGAGGGTCTAGGCACTGGGGATACACTGGTGAACAAGAGAGGCATGGTTCCTGTTCTTACTATAATCAGGAAATTTGCATTCACTATTGTTTATCCTGCTCTCTGAGCCTCAATTTTCTCTTTTATAAAATGATGACAATAGTTTGCTGGGGTGATTACATAAAAAAATGCACATCAAGCATTTGGCACAGTGCCTAGCATGTAGTAAACACTGGAACAAGTGTCGCCGTGTTGTTGCTGTGGCTACTAGAACGCAGACCTGCTGCTGCGTCACAATGATGAAAACTTTCTTTTCCCCCTGCTGATGATGATACCTCTGCTTCTTCCAGGGTCACCTGGACTTCGGTCTTTTCTTGTTCAATCAGTTTCTTGACCTCTTCCATTTGAGTTAAGTTCTTGGTTCCTTCTCTAACCTGGTTTGCCAGATTAGAAATCTCTTCTGGAGAGAGAGGGAAGAAAAGCAAAGTTAGTGAATGGCCAAGTCTCAGACCCATGATGTCAGGCAGAGCAGATGGTTCCTAAAGGCCCACTGGGATCCCCCCTTTGGTAACTCGATGGCAGGGCCATCACTAGTCCATATGGGACCTAAAAATTAGAAAAAGTCATCCCCTTTTATTTTTGCCATCAGAAAATTTTCTACAACAATTGTTAAGGATGGTGTTTCTTAGAGTGTTGTGCACTGGACAACCTGTACAACTTTACATGGCGGGCCTGCTTGTCAGAGCCATGCCAGATTCCACCTGGAGGAACACAGACCTGGAATACCTACGCTTCCAGTGGAAGTGCTTAGCTATCAACACCGGTGGCTGCCATTGTGTCAGCCACTGCTCAGCTGGGCCAGGAACTTAAAGCACAAGCTGGTCAGTGTCTGCCAGCAGCCCAGGCCTGCCCCCAGATAGGCCAGAGAATCGGACAGGGATCAGAGAAGACTGGCTTCAGCTCAAGCACTTGAGAGTTTTGGCTAGGCTCTCATGAACACAAGCCTGTGGCAGAGAGAGTAAGGCATCCAGAAATCCCAAAACCTCTGCCACCTGATATTGTTATTGTCGGTTCTGTCTCTTCATGAAGGAAGCCTCTAGTACCTAAGAACTGTGGAATTGCCCAGTCCAGAGACAGTGGAGGGCGGCTCAAGAGGTCACCTGCTCCTCCAGTGCTAAGATCCTGGGCTATGATGTGATATGACAAGAATCTTTAAAAGTTACCAAAAGAAACATGTTTTGAAAAGGCTCTCTTCAGCCCCAAACTCCACCTCAGACCCAGGCTTCACTTACAAAATTCAAATGCAAATGTGAATTCTCAGGCCCCATCTCAGACCCACTGAATCAGAAACCCTGGGGTGGCCCCAGCCATCTGTGCTTTAACAAGCCTTCCAGGTGGTTTGGATGCAGCTAAAATTTTCTAACCACAGTTCTAGCACCCCTCACACAGTCAGTGATCTGATCTTGGACTACGGAGGTCAACAGAGAAAGCAATTTCATTTATGCCTCCAGTAATAATGAACGTGCTTCCAGAGCATCTTGAGGTTTTCATGCACCCCACTGTTGGTGCTGGTGTAAGCTGGCAGCCTCTTTGAAGGGCTGTTTGGCAGTATATCAAAATTTAAAAATTCATTCCTTTAACCCAGCAATTTCATTTCTAGGGATCTATTCTACTGAAATATTTTTACATGTGCACAAATACATGTACAGGGATGTACAATATAGGATTATTTATATTTGTGAATAATTGGATTTAAAATTAATAAGGTCTAGTTGAATGATAGTCATCCTTCCTATGAAATGCTATATAGCTATTAAAAAATATGTGGTAAGTTTCTATGTATAGACATGCAAAGAACCATAAGGTACATGGGAAGTTTGCATGATTCAGTAGTTAAGTGCATATATGCTAGAGCCATGCTGACTGGGCTCAAATCCCAGATTTGCTACTTATCAAATGTGAATTTGGACAAGTTACTTGATCTTATGACCAATATAAACTCCATTTTACAGATGAGGAAACTAACACTAAGACTGTTCTGAGAATTAAACAATGAATAGTTACATATACAACAGCATAGGTCTTATATACTGTTCTATATATAACACATACATAGTATGGGCTATAGAAATATTTATTAAATTAGAAAATATGTTCATAAGTGAAAAAGTAAAAGGTGTAGAACAATGTAATTTGGGTAAAAAATATGCAGATGAATACAGAATATACACGGAAAATCTTAGTAAGGCCATGGATATCAAGAAATTCTTAACAGTGGCTTCCTTTACAGAGCAGAACTGAATCTAAAGGTAGGAAACTAGTCTTACTTTTAGAATTAATTTAATACAAATAAAATCTGTAGTTAAAAAAAAAATCAAACAGAAGTATTAAAAATTGAAAAGTGAAACATGATGGGAACACGGAAGTGCGGAAGTCTTGTGCTCACAGAAGACAGCCTGGCCCGTAACCAGGGCCCTCCCAGAGCTCCCTGCTCAGGCTTTGTTCTGAGCCCAGCTCTGAGTACCTTGGAGCTTCTTGTTCTCCCTCCTGAGTGTCTCCTGGCCCGTGGTGCTCTCCTCATAGGCGTGCTTGAGCATGAGGAGCTCACTGCTGAGAGCCTGGACCTCCCCCTGAGAAGCATCCAGCAACATCCGGGACTCCCCATGCTTCTGCTGCCAGTCGGCAAGGGCCTCGTCAGACTGCTGCTGCTTCTGGTCCCGCTTGGCAGCCGCAGAGTGAGCCTTCCCCAGGTCCGACAGGGCATCCTCGAGCTCGAGCTGCAGCCAGTGCCTGGCCCTTTCCAGGGAGGCATTTCTGGAATTGGTCACCTCCATGTCTTCAGCAGCCTCCTGCAACCTGATAGCCAACTTCTTCCCAAGAAGGGGACACCCAAAGGGCAGTGAAGCGACAACACTCTGAGAGCTCATCAAGTCCGTCCTGGATTAAAGACGGTGTTTGGGTACAAAGCAGTGCGGCCTCTGGGGCTGGCTTAATAGGATGAAGCGAAAGCAGCTCATGTCTGAAAGTGACCTCCTAGCACCTGAAGAACCTAGATGTCTGCTGACCACCATCCTCTGGCTCCTGTGTGCACGTGGTCTTTATTTTCCACACCCTCCATCAACCTGAACTTGGAACTCAGGATCTCTTTGAATTCCTATAAATATTTGCTTATCCTAAACCATTAATAAGCAATTCTGACTTTATTGACAATTTCATAAGAAATGGGAAAAAGGAGATTGTACTGAACAACAGTAAGCAACTTAAAAATCTGTAGGCACATTTAGTTGCTTAAGAGCTCCTTGGCTGTGTTGTTTCTAAGGAACACTCTCCTGCTTTCTCGTGCTCATTTTCTCTCCCTCTTATGTGGCTCCTAAACAAACCACAATTCCGTCTTCTCTCTGAATTTCTTCTCCAACTCAGCTCCTCTCCCCAGACCTATAAACCCAAATCCATCTCATCATTGTGTTCACTTAACAGGTCCTATTGCTCTTAGTGGGTACTTTGGCCCCCACTGTTGTCCTCCAGCATTGCTGAGATGAGTGGTTTCTTACAGTGCTTCCTCCACCACCCCCATAATACACTGCTCTCAGGAATTCTAATGGACGAAATGTGTTTTCTTCCCTACATCTCCTGCAGGGATGCTGGCAGTCTATTCTTACTCACTCATTATACCTCTTAGATGAAAGGTACTGAATGTGCCAAAGCTTTTTTTAATCTACTGCTATTAAGTAGAAAAAAGGTCCTCGGAAATTAACATGGACCACGCAACTAGGCGAACAAAGCAATGTGGTAATAAAGTCCTCTTTTGTGGAATCCTGTATTCAAGAAAGATCTGGGCTATAAACAACTCCTTGTTCACTGACTTTCTAACCATAGTCACTTCACTTCATTGCTTCATTTTCTTAACTGTTAAGAGGAAATTCTGTTGCTTTACCCAACCTAAGATAGTTGGAGTCCTGTAAAATAATCATATTTATTATGACTACTTTGGGAATGCTCTACTGATAGCAGGAAATAGGTGACCAATCATACTGGTTTGCCTGGGAGTGCCTGGAACTGCCTGGAATGAGAGATCTCACCAGGATGTGACAGTTTCAAGGCTAAAACAGGAAAAGTCCAGGGCAAACTGGACAAATTGGTCACCCTCGTTTTCCTGGTAATTTTGTTCTACATTTAATACCAATGACTATTTTGCTCCTTAACTTGCCAAACATAGCACCTACTTATTTGCCTAGAATATGTAAGGGGAAATTAAGAAACTATATCCTTATCCCTGGAGAACTTAGAACTCAGAAGCAGTAAATTAGGTCTCGGATGAGTTTGATTCTGCTGAATTCACTCATCATATGACCCCCAGCCTGGGAAGCAAAGCAGGCAGACCTTCAATTTCAATTAAAAAACAAAACAAACAAGACCCTACATTTTTTTTGTAGCTTCCTACCTCCCCGAGGTGATTTAGAGGAAAAGCATAGGACAGACAGAACCTTCTTTATTTGATGTTTGACTAATTTTGAAGCAAAAAGGTTCTTCAGATATTGCCATGTTTGTCCACTATTTTTCTTTAGTTGTCACATACCGTAGAACTAGTTCCAACAAATCTATGTGCTCATAAAGTCGTCTATAATCTTGCCTTCTTTTTTACACCCTCCCTCCAATAAACCATCAAACCAAATGACAGATAGTCACTTTCACCCAATTCTTCAATCATTATAAGAAAAAAAAATCTTACTTCAGAAGCAAATGCCATATTTGGATATAAGGAAGCATTTCTGTTCAAAGCCAAAACTTTCTGTGGTCCAGAGTTTTGATAAAACACCTACTGCAGGTATTTTTAGTATCTGTCATTCTAAAGCCCTTTTTAAGTTACTGCAGATACAGAGATGGATCACTTGGTACCCCTTCTGGGACAGAACACAGCAGCTGTTCAGCAACTGCACAGCAATGCCTCTGAAAGATTTAGGTGAAGAACTGAAAAACATTATTTCTAGTTGAAGCTAAAGAGAAATGTATTGATCTGTCCTGGAGTTTTGCCAAGCTACCAAGATAGGGACACATTCTTTTGAGTAAACCTTTAATGATTATAAGCTGGGGTTAGTTTGACACTTTCCCTCAAAGACATAGTTCCTCCACCTCCCAGCAAAATACTTCAGTACTACACCTGGGTAGTGAGTCTAGACTCAGCTAAGCCCCAAACTTCTGTAGTTCCTGAGAAGAACTTTTAAAACCTCTATGTGGCACTGGCTGTAAAATTGACATTCTAACCTCAGGGGTGGCCTGGGGATGATTTCTTTTTAAAGAGTACTTTGCCCCATAAGGCATGATGACTGATCCTAACATGTTTCCAGCTATCCATGTCCATCTTCACAGACCGCTTTGTAGTATACAAGTTGTAGACCAGAGGCACAATGACTTTTGATCTATGGAGACGTGTACACACATGGACTCAATTATTTTGGTGTTCCAAATGAAATACAGGATTTTAAGTGATAGCCCATTTTCAAACCATAGCTCAAAGTCATATCTTTCATGAAAACTTTCCTCATACCCCTAGAAAGAGCCTCCTTTCTCTCCCCAGGACCTCTTTATAGTCTCTATCATTTTATACTATATTTTTTCTTTTCTTTTTTTTTAGCCCCTCTAGAGCATGTTCTTCTTGCCAGAGATGATTGTTTCAGCTTTGGTTTGGGACTTGTTCACACACTCAGCAAGGATTTGTTAAGTGCATACCACGAGGTTTTAGAGACACATTATTCTCATACTCCTCCGTGTGACTAACTCCAGTCAAGGATAGCCATGCTGTACTCGCTTGGCATCCTCCAAGTCTTCAGTCCTCTGGATGGCACTATTTTTGTACTTCATTCTCCATTGCACAAATTCGGTGTTGCCTTTGGATAGAGCCCTGTGCAGCTCAGCCTTGACCTCTTGCTCTTCTTCATACTGCTCTCATAGAAGTTCACAGTCATGCCTGGCTGAGTGCAGAGCATGGACAAGGGCACTCTATGACTGCAGGGGGACACACGTTTTAAAAAAAAAAAGGCACCACCACCATTAACAACAAAAGGCTTGGAGGTGATATAATTTTTTTACTTAGATAAGGTTAATAACAACCTGCCACAAATTCAAGCTGAATCTGAACCTAGTAAGATAATGCCGGGAAGAGAATTTGGGACAAGAAGAGAAAGGATAAAGAGTATCTAATTGCTGCTATTAAGACAGGGAAGGAAATTCTATTTAAGGAAATGCCAGCCTGACTATGCGGTCTTCAACAACAGACAAGCCTGGAGTCCTAGAAATTGGTGCAGAATGCAAAGATAGCAGCGAGGACATTCACTGCCATTTAGGCAATAAGATTTACATTTAGCAATATACAAGATGCAGATTCTTGTCTGAATCAAAAGGAACCACTAAGATTTAGTCTAGCCTTTTCAGTCCATTGATGAGGACAATAAATCTTTTATTTCACACTGAAATCTCTGAAAATCTCCATTCTTATCACTTTAAAACAGTTCTGCCCAGTAGAACTTTCTACAAGAATGAACTTGTTCCATATGTACACTGTCCAATATGGTAACCACCAGGCACATGTGGCTATTGAACACTCAAAATGTGCCCAGTACAATGTGTGGTCAAAGCTGAATTTTTAATTTTAATTAATATAAATTTAAATTTAGATAGCTACCTGTAGTGTAGCAGTGGCTCCTATATTTATTGGACAGCAGACCTGTGTTTAATGAACATTTCTATCACTTTAATGGTGTCTGGCTAACATAGCAGGATCATTCCCAGGAGATAAGCTAAGAACCAGGTCAGGCCTCAGGGGTCCTTTACATAAATTAGAAAAAAAGATCTTCTCTGGCAGACGCAGCTCTGAGGGCACGAGGCTTAGTTCACGGCAGCCTCAGCCCAGACACGCTTCTGTGGCAAATGACGAACAATAATACCCGGTGACTCTGAGAAGGACAAAGGCTTTGGAATCAGATAAATTTGGGTTCAAATTGAGATCTTTCCTCTTATTTAATTTTATTTTATTTAAAAAGAAGAACTTTTAAAACCATTGTGTGGCATTTGTGCAGCATATATTTGTTGAGCATCTGTTCTAGGCACTAGTATTATAGAAGTAAAACAGACAGAGACAAAGCTTCTGCCCTAAGGAGCCAGAAAGGAATATGGAGATACACAAAACAAACGTATAAATAAATCAATAAATACAATTTATAATAGAAGCCAATAAAATAAAATAAAATAAGGCAGATTGGCATGATATAGAATGTTTGTTCCTTCTCATCATCCCCTAAGGATTTTGGTGAAGGGCTTTTAAGCAATGGGAAGAGCAGCTATCAAAGTCCTAAGGCAGCAACTAGGGTGGCTTGTTTCAGAGGCAGAAAGGACGCCAGGACAAGTGGAGAGGAGTAAAGGAGAGAAGCAAATGAGGTAAGGTCACAGAAGGAGGCTGGAGCCAGATCAGGGGGACTTGTGGGCCAACTGGAAGTCACTGGGAAGGCAGCCAGGGAGAGCTGCTAAAATATAAATCAAGTCGTTTCACTATCTGCTTAAATGCCTTCACAGTTTGTCACTGGCTGTGTGACCTTGGATGAGTTATTTGTCTTCTTGGAGCCTTTGTGTCTTCATATATAAAGATCTAGTTCTACCTGTTTCATATGACTGATATGAAGGAGTGGTAATTTAAAAATTTGTGTATATTATACAAAGCATGAAGAATTAAGGGAATAAAATGGTACAATATTTTAAAACAAAGCCTCAACCCCTTCCATCTTGAGAATACATGCTTTTTCAGTAAGATCATGTTCGAGAAAGGTACTTTGGGGTCTTAGTAATAAGATGCCTTGAATATAAACTAAGAATTAGCTTTAAATTCCAGGGCTCAAAGAATACATCTGTCATGTTGCTCTCTAAGCTTTCATCCTAAAGAACCACTTTCATTGGGGTCACCTTCTAGCACCATTACATATCCTCATGGGAAGAAATGACTAATTTCTATAATTTATTGACAACTAAAAAGTAATACTGAGCTAACCCAGCCCCATTTATTTTATCCTAGTCTTTTATTTAATTCCACTTCTTGGTGAGTAGTTCAGAATCAAAATCCATAAAGAGCCTTGTTGACCTTCTGTTCAAGTACTAATGCAAAATGGAAATACATACTTTGCTTGCTGTAAATCTGACAAACTATAGAAGCGATTTGAATCACTAAGTACGATCCTTCAGTCATCAGGGCTCTTCCTAGCATGGTTTTTTTCTCCCATAATTTCTAGAGCATTTTTCCTTGTTCTTTTATAGAAGATATAGGCTAACCCACCAAGCATCCTTCTTTTAAAAACACACAGGCAAGTGGCTGGTAAGAAATAATAGATTCATTACTTTGGTCTCCTTTTCCAGCTGCCCTCTCAGTTCTTCAATCAGCCAAGAGAAGTTGCTCTCTTCCCTGTGAAGTTGGCTTATCAGAGCTTCCTTTTCTTCCAGCTTCCTTAGGAACTCACCTGCAGAAAGATTTCACAAAATAAGTTAGTCATGGTCTTCCTCATCTACTGCCTCCCCCACTTGACTTAATGACTTTAAGGGCAGCCAGAATGACTCCTACCCACATATTTTTGATATTTAGGAAGGGTCTGAGAGTCCTGTTATCAGCAAAACCATGGCAATGATCCTTTCCAGGGCTTATAAGAGAGCCCTAAAAAAAGAACTGATTTTTAGTAGTAAGTATGAGTCGATAACAGATATTATTGGCTACTATTTATTGAGAACCTTCTATGCCCTAGGTATTTTATACAGATTATCTAGTTTCATTTTCGTAACTCCTTGATAATTATATCAACCATTTCGCAGAGGAGGAAACAGGGCAACTTACTTAAACCTGACTGAGACAGAAACATACATAGTCAGTATTAAGTGAAGGTAGACAGATTTGAATGAAGTTCTTACCCTAAAGAACACATTCTTCTATACCATGTTCCCTTGTTTATTGCATGTGACTGTGTCAGTTTCTGTCTATATAATTTTTAGATAATTATAACTTTTTGCCCTCATCTATAAAAAGAAGATAACAATGTAATAAAAGATTTTTAATGAAAATTAAATGAGTGCAAATGTATTTTATCAACTGAATTGTTAAATAATTATTAGAAATAGTCATTAAATAGTAGGAAATGTGACCACGAGAGAAGAAATTCTATTATATTCTAGTCTATCTTCCCTGTTTATTTTATTAACTACAGTTGGCCTTTCATATCTGTGAATCCACATTCATGCAGTTGACAAACTGAGGCCTGAAATATTCAGAAAACATGGATGATTGCATCGGTACTGAACATGTACAGGCTTTTTTCCTGTCATTATCTCCTAAACAATACAGTATAACAACTATTTACATAGCATTTACATTCTATTAGATATTACAAGTAATCTAGTGATGATTTAAAGTATACAGGAGATCTGCCTAGGTTATATGCAAATACTACATCATCTTGTATAAGGGACTTGCACATTCATGGATTTTCGTAGCCACTGAAGGTCCTAAGACCAATCCCCCTAGGATACTGAGGGACGACTGTATGGTACAGAAATGCCATGGTTACTAGAAATGGTCCAGAAAGCTGAGCCTGGGCAAAGGTAGTTGTTTCCATAGTATAATTAGTATGACATTAAAAGTCCTAAATATTTATGATTTCAACCTCCCTTGCTACAAACAACTTCTAAAGCTCTCAGCGTTGTAAGGAAGCATTTGTTTGAGTTAAAGCAGTGCTTTCCAAACTTTTTGGTCTCAGGGACATTTTATATGCTTAAAAATTATTGAGGACCCCAAAGAGATTTTGTTCATGTCGGTTTTAATGGATAGTGTAGTAGAAATTAAAACACAGAAGTTTAAACTATATATTAGTTCATTTAAAAATAATAAATGACAATGAGGGAGGAACCAAGATGGCGGGCGAGAAAAGCCACCTGTCAGAGTGTCTCTGCAAAAAAGACAGATTTTAGAAGAAAGTGAAAAAAATAAACTAGCAGAAAAACATAGACCGGGTGAGGGTCAGAAGGAAGGGTGCCTGAAACTACAGGAGACTCCATGGGAAGACGTTGCAGCGGAGAACTGAAAGGAGAAAGGTCCCCAAGAGGCTTGGAGACCAGCGACAAGGGTAGGTGGAGCAGATAACTTTCCCCTCCCTTGTATCTCGGACTGTTGGTGGGCTCCTGAGCAGTTGGAGAGACCTGCCATCACCAGCCCAGAGACAGCTGCCACCAGTGAGCAGTGGCCTCTTGCGGACAGGGCGCCAGGCTCCCAGCTCCCTCGGGGCACCTCCCCGTGCACAGACCCGAGCCTATTAGCAGATGCCATATTTCTCTATTCTCTCCTTCCCCTTCCCTACCCGTGGGTGCCCAGAGAGACAATTTAGCCGTCACACGGAGGCATCTCCAAGGAATGGGACCTTTCCTTTTGGGGCCCTACAGCAGAATGAGGGGTACTCAGACTGTGAGCTCCCTACCTGCCAGCCCTCCCAGGTACTGCTTGCCTGCTAACTCCAGGAAAGTGGGACAAATCCCAAAGTGGAGTGAAATCAATCCAGCTTGGGCACCCTGTAGGTGATTCAAGACCAGCACCCCTCCCCCTGACAGGGTCAGGGATTGATCTCCAGGGCCCAAGGGACAGGCCTGCAGACCAGACCCCGTACACCCAGGTCACAATCGCACTGCCCTGGGGCACAGAAGGGAGATCTGTGAAAGAGCCTACTGAGGAGTGTGTGCCTTCAGGGGCAGATCAGTGTGCCTGAGCAGCAATGCTCCTCCCAAAAAAGGGCTGTACACGGAGCTCAGGCTGTGATCCTGGGCAGAGAATCTGCCAGCCCACGTCATAGCCAGAAAAGATCCATTGGCCTGAGGTCCTGCCTGCTGGCAGAGGCCTGGGAGAGGCCATGGAGAGGGGGAGGGTGGAGGGGAGCGAGACCTGCTCTGGAGTGCAGGTCTCGGATAGCCCCACCCCGCAAGCCCAGACTTTTCAGCTGAGTGGAGCCATTTAAGCCCCTCCCAGCAGCTTTGCAAAGAAGCAAAGGAGCAGACCTTCGACCCCTGCTAACAGCAGTTGTGGAGGCTGAGGGCAGGCTTACCCAACACAGCCCTGCCCAGACTCACTCCAGGACCTGCCCCCACTGAGGTGGAGAACAAGGACATACCTGGAAGTCCCAGGGCCCACCCACTACCCGAGGTGCAAGAGGGCCATTCCTCTGCAAGAGGGCCTCTCCGGAGGAACAAGAGCCGGTTACAGGACCCAAAAATAGCACTGCAGCTTGCTCCTCCCAGGAAGTGCCGCCTACTGACAGGAAGGTCATTCTGCAAACCCTTTTACTGCATCTACTGATTTATCATAAAGGTTGTGGTCAAATCTCACCCACGAACTCCACCTACTGGCTCAAAGACTAAACAGGGCATGTGATTATTCAAACGAAAATCTAAAGGCAATAAAGAACAACTGATGCAGATGGGAGGGAACCAGAAAAAGAACTCTGGAAGTATGCAGACTCAAACGGAAAGCACACCCCCAAAGAGGAACAACAGCTCTCTAGCAACTGACATTAACCAAACTCAGAACACTAAAATGACAGAAGAAGAATTTCAAACATGGATTGTAAGAAAACTCAATGATATGCAAGAAAAAATGTATGACCAACACAAAGAAACCACAAAAAAAATCCAGGACTTGGAAGAAAAATTCACTAAAGAAATTGAAATATTAAAGAAAAATCAAACC